TGCCCCGGTCCGGGAGGATCCCACGTGCCGCGGAGCGGCTGGGCCCGTGAGCCATGGCCGCTGAGCCTGCACGTCCAGAGCCTGTGCTCCGCAACAGGAGAGGCCACGACAGTGAGAGGCCCACATACCGCAAAAAAAAAATAATAATAATAAAATAAATAAATAAATAGTAAAATTGCAACAGAAACAGCCAAATTGTCTTCTAAAAGTGTCACCAGTGGAGAGCGCCCATTTCTCCACACTTCAACAACTCTTGTTATTGTCAGTCTTTTTAATTTTTACCAATATAATGGTCTAAGGAATTACCTGATTGTTTTAAATTTACTTTCTCCTGATTGCTAGTGAGGTTGAGCATCTTCTTATAGGTTTATTGGCCATTTTCATGTCTTCTCTGAATTTCCTATTCATATCCTTTACTTATTTTTCTTTTAAGTTATTTGTCTTTATCTTCTGAATTTTTTAGAAGATCTTTATACATTCTGGTTAGTAAACCCTTTTGCCAATTAAATATGTTATAGGTATTTTCAGCCATTCTGTGACTTTTTTTTTAACTTATCTTTCATTGTATAGTTTAAGATAAGATAGAACTTATCTTTCATTGCTCTTAGTTTTTAATGAAATTTATTGCTCTTGTCCTCTACTCGGTCTTTTAGGCTTTGTGTCTTTTTTTGGAAGGCCTTTCTTTCCCACTTTAAAGTTAGAAAATATTTGTATTTTGTTTTAATACTTGCTTAGGTTTTTGTTTTGTTTTGTTTTAGTTTATTTGCATAGGTCTTTAATACATCTGGACTTTATAGTGTGAGGCAAGAGTCTGACTTTTTTTTCCCAAATGGAAATTGTCCCAAGGCCATTGACTGAGTAGGCCATCCTTTTCCCACTAATTTGAAATGGTATGTGAACCTTTTAATGGATTTGGGTAGTAGTGGAAAACTGCTTTCTTAAAAAGAATGAACTAGTTTATACAAATTGACATCAGCAATGTGTATTTACCCCAGTTTTGCTGCAGCTTTCCAAGTATTGGTATGATTGTTTTATTGATTGTGAGCTAATTTAAATTAATTTTTATTTATATCGGTACACAGCTATTTTCATTTCTCAGTGATGCAAATGATGGTATTAGAGGACTTTACTGAATAGAATCAATGCCAAAATACCTGGTACAGTAGGAAGCCTACATAAGTGACTAGCTGTCTAAAGATTGATGACTCCCATCCCACCCTACATTTTCTTCCATCTCCTCCCCTGTGCCTCTCATAGGATCTTCTGCAGGAGAGCTGGTCCTCATTACAGCCAGGGTGACCACAGAAAGGACCCCAGGAACCTGCCTGTATTTTAGTGCTGCTCCAGGAATCCTGCCCTCCAGCCAGCCACCCATGTCCTGCTCGGAAGAGGGAGCAGGAAATGCCACCCTGAGCCCTAGGATGGCTGAGGAGTGTGTCAGTGTCTGGAGCCACGAAGGTCTTGTGCTCACCAAGTTGCTCACCTCCGTAAGAGCCTCAGATTGTTGGGGTTTCATAAACTGCCATGCTGAATGCTGTGTCTTGATGGCTTCTGGATGCAATTTTACCTAGTAGAAAAGCACAGGCTTTATAATCCTGCCTCAGGTTCTGTGACCTTGAGCAAGCATGTGGGCCTCTCTGAAACTCAGCTTCCTCAGCTGTAAAATAGGAAACATGATGCTGTCTCCTAATACCAACAAATAAGGATAAATGAGAATGAATGTAAAGCGCCTGGTACATAATAGAGATTGGATAAATGACAGCTATTACTATTAACAATTGTCTATAGATACAATAAAACATGATCTTCACCTCAAAGGAATTCAGAAGCTGTAATAAGAGGCAGAATGGGCTAATTGCTATCATTGGGGTGTGAGCAAAGTGTTATTCAAACAGAGTAAGGACCAATTAACTCTGACTTGAACGTTTATGGAGAGTGCTTCACCAAGAAGGTGGCATTTAAGAAAGGGAATTGTTTACAATAGTTTATACCTTACTAAGTGCTTTCAGTTTCATTACCTCATTTGATCTTAAGGCTGTTATGAGGTAGCTGTTATTATCTCATTTTACAGATGAGGAAACAGACTTAGAGGGAGTGAATTGCCCCAGGCCACACAACTGGTTAAGTGGCAGAGCCAGGATTGCAACTTACAGCCTTCTGACTTCCAAGTCCCAGGCTCATTCTGCTCTGTCAGGATGATCCTTGAAGAATGAGGAAGACATGGGCAGGAATGCAGTAGAGGCGGTTCAGGAGAGGGGAGATACATTCCAGGCAAAGGGACCAGCATGAGTACAGGCCTAGGGATTGAAAAGTGTTCAGGCTTCAGGAGCACTCCACGACGAGGGCTTAGGCATGACATAGAGGAAGAGACAAAAGAGATGCAGGGGCCAGGTCATGAGGCACCGTGAGGTCTGGCTAAGATGCTGTGACTTGATACTGCAGGCCATGGGAGTCACTGGTGCTGGGTGGACAAGACTGGCTAAGTGTAGGAGAGAGACCAGTTAGGAGGCTGCTTCATACTGCTCCCTCACATTTGCAAAGACCCTGGTGAGGAGCATGACTTGGGAGCTTGGAATCAGAGACCTTGGTTTCCAGACCTGGCCCTGCTTGCACATTTCAAAATGTAGACAATAGTGAACTTTCCTATCTCCTGGAGTCATTATAGGGGTTCAGTTTAAATGTTTGGGCAAGAAAGCGGTTTGTAGACCATTGAGACAAATGTTAGCTTGCATGAAAATAAGAATAGAATTTTCCCAATTTTAGTTGCTCCCTGGATGTGGAGAGCCCTCTCCCCCATGGAGGCTTCTCTCTATAGCCCTTGGGCTGGGGGTATCTAAGATATCTTCCCAAGGGAAGATTCTCCACAGTCCCTTCTCTCTCCATCATTCCTCCTCCCCTTCCTGTCCCCACCCCTAGGAGGAGCTGGCTCTGTGTGGCTCTAGGCTGCTGATTTTGGGTTCCTTCCTGCTTCTCTTCTGTGGCCTTCTCTGCTGTCTCACTGCTGTGTGCTTCCACCCACGCCGGGAGTCCCACTGGTCTAGAACCCGGTTCTGAGGGCACTGGCCTAGTTCCTGTCTCGTTCTCAGGTAAGGTTCTCTGATTCAGTCCTGTGGGAATAGGGGATGGGGTGTGAGTGGCAGCTGTAACTGAGACAGAGCTTTTCCTAAACAATATGGTTTGGTTTTACTTATTTTTGTACTTTATGTGGAATCATACATATTCTTTTGCGACTGACTTCTTTCAGTTAACATTCTGATTTTAAGATTCATCCATAGCTGTAGTTTACATCCAAGCTTTTTGGCAACAGCAGTGAATTAAGGGGGTTCAAATTTGATGATGTGTCCTGGATATGAAGCATGTTTGTCTTGCTTTTGTCCTGAAATTCTGATACCCAGTTTTATGATGCAAATTTTGTAAAATTCATCTTGAACTGCTCAAAAGGATTGATGATGCCCTTTTACTGGACACACACTATGTGCCCAAGCACTTCATATGCACCTGATCTTTTACATTAGCCATCATTGCATTAGAAAAAGTTGATTCTGCTAGCAGGATCTTTGCAGGGACACAGCCTCCAAAGTGGGGGTAGGACATATTGGCTAACTGGTTAGTCCATCAGCTCATTAAGATTAAAAAAAAAAAAAAAGTTCTTTAAAAAATCTCACCCTTTCAGTTGAGTCTCATATAATTCAAGAGTCATATATTGTGCACCCCGCTCTTAAACTGTTCTCAGCTTCAGCTGGCCGCTGTGCCCTAGGAAGCAACTGTGGGAGAAGAGGAAACCGCTCAGACCCAGGCAAGGTGCTGACCAGAGGAGCTGGACCCTCAAGATCAACTTTGCTTATATTGCTTAGGGCTAGGCCTGACTGCTCCAACCACCTACTTGGGTTGGGAAAAGGTGGAACCCTCTTAGCCTTTCTTAGATCTGAGCAGAGTGGGAAAGGAAGGCTTTCTGGCTCCTGGCAGACCCTGGGATCCTGAGGCCATCTCAGTTGGAATAAGTGCCTGTACCTATCTCTAGTTGTCACTTCCTCTGCTCCTTCCCCAATTTCTGCAGCCATACCAGAGCTTCCTCCAAAGGCCCTCTGACCTGCCCTGTTTTTTTATTTTGTTTCTCTCCAGGTGTGAATCAACTTCTTGGGCCTTGATTCTGAGTTGGAAGAGATATTACAAAAGTGGAGAGCTGGAATGTGGGGGAAATAAAAGGTTTTTTTGCCCAGTGTTTCCCAGGGTGTTTATTGGGGACTGGATTGAGGTGGGAATTTTAAGGTAGAGAGTCTCGGGAGGTTTAGGGGATTTTTCCTTGTTGACTCTTTAGTTTGGGTTGGTATAGGGCATAAGGTTACTGCAGCTCTTGGGTATGGTCATGGAAATGCTTTGACATAAATGCATTGTGACCTTGTGCAGGTCATGCTGCTGTGAAGGGCCTCAGTCTCCTGAAGGGATATGACAGATTGAGTTTTCTCAGCAAAGATTCCTCGAACTTGGGAGCCCACGACCAGGCTGGATAGTTACTAACCAGGACAGTCCGTTTTCCCGCCTTTTCCGCGCCCAGCAGCAGTCTTCCCTTACCCCTCCCAACCTCTACCCTGCACGCAGGCGCAGATCACGGCTTCTTATTTCCTTCCACCCGCGCCCCCTCAAAGCTTCCCCTAGCAACAAGCTCGGGCTCCGCGCTAAGGCGGGGCGAGCGCATGCGCTGCAGCCCTTTCCACCACCAGTTGTCGGACAGCGCGCTGGGCTCCTCCTTCTCCAAGACTAGCCCTGCTCCCCACCTCCTCCCACCCAGGGTCCGCGTGGCGGGGCGCGCGCGCACTCTGGCTGGGTTGCTGCCCAGCTCTCTGGCCGCATCCTTAAGGAGAGAGGGGCGGGGCTGTTTCCTTTGGGGCCCCGCCCCCTTGGCCCGGCGTCCATACCGCGCCTGCGCGCTCCCGCCCGGTCTCCATCTTGGAATTGGGAGGAAGAGGGAGAGGGAGACTGGGACGAGACCGGGGCTGTGATGCGGAGAGGCTGAGACTGAGAAGAGGAGAGGGGGAGAGGGCACGGGGACCGCCCTTAGCTACAGTCTTTCAGCTGTCCTCGGGAAAGGGAAGGGGAAAGGGAGGGGGCCGGGGCGGGAGTGGGGGCTGTCACCCTCGGACCCCGGCGTGAGAGGGGCCGTGCGGTCGGACGTCCTCGGGGTAGGCCCCCTGTCGGTGGCCGAAGACCTGGGGCTCAGTCCCCTCGGTCCCGAATTTCCGGGCCTGACCCCACGCTTCTCAAATATCCGGGTCTCAGCCCCTGAGATTCCAGATATCCGGGACTCGGGTCCCAACCTCTCTAAACCTGGGGCTCTGTTTCACAGGGTTTCAAATATCTGGGGTTCAGGACCCTGCGTGCACCAGTATCCGGGGTTCATTCCCCACGAGTTCAGATATCAGATTCGGCCTCCCCCTGTTCGAATATCTGGAGTTAAGACCCCACAATCAGAAATCCGGGACTCAGCAACTGTCGCCCTCGAGGAAAAGGAGGACTGGACCGCGAGGTCAGATCAGGTTGTCACCCCCTCCCCTCCAGGGGAGGCTTCCCGGGCCCGCCCCTTAGGAAGGGCGAAAGCCGAGGAAGAGGTGGCAAGGGGAGAGGTCTCCTTGCCCCTCTCCCTGCTTGGCAGAGCCGCTGGAGGACCCCAGGAGGAGGCGGAGGCGCTGGGGCACCATAGTGACCCCTACCAGGTGAGACACGGGCTGCAGGGGCGCGGGTCCCTGTGTCTAGCTTGAGAAGAGAGGGTGCTGCTTTCTGGGAAGCTGGGCCTGGGTAGGCTCTCTCCTCAGGATGGGGAAGCCTAGCTGGGCCAGTGGTCAGCCTCTGGCTAGCCTTGCCTTCTGCTGCCACCCTCTTCCCCTTCCTTTTCCCTTCATTATGTCTGGTTGATGAGGGACCTCAGGTGACAGGGTCTCTGATGTCACGGGGGTCACACCCTAAGGTGCTTGAGCTAATCAGATGGATTTGCACCCTTCTGGTTTTCTCCCTGTTCACTTTGCCCCTCACAGCTACCCCTTCATGATTGTAACTCTCTTTCCTCTGGGGTGTTAATTCCCATGCCTCTGGTCCCCATGGTGGGTCTGCTTATCTGTTTTTTAGGCATGGTCTGCTTGGGTTTCTTGTCCTTTCAAGGAAGTGTATATGTGCATTTGTGTTTAGGGGTGCTTGGCAGTATTTCCCCCAACTGTTGTTACCTTCCAGCCTCTTGCTGTGATGGTATAAGTAATCTAATTAGTCAAGCGATTTATCATTTACAAAGTGCTCTACATCCATTCTCTCATTCATCTCCCCCCTCATTCATCTGGTGAGGGGGCTCTTTTACTGTCTTCTTCCCATTTTACAGTTGAGGCTATTGAGGCCCAGAGAGGTTGCCCAAGGTCACACAGCAGCAGAATAGGATTGGAACCCAGGTCCTTGAACAAGTCTTACCTGTGTTCCGTACCTGTCTCTTGTCATCTCTTTTCTTCTGTGCCTAGGTTTAGCCATGGGTCCAGAAGAGAATGGATTGGGGTGAGATTTAAGAATGGGAGAGAGAAGAGCTTCCTTTTTAGGAGGCCTATACTCAGAAGCTTTTCCTGATGGGAGGCTCTGGCCCCTGCCTTCTGCCTCATGGATTTTTCTCTCCACTGTGACCTTCATCTTTCCCCTCATCCCAGTCTTTGGCCTGGGTTCCTGAGAGGGCCATCTCTTGTGGCAAATGATAGTGGTGTCTCTTAACAGTTAAAGCCAAGCTGCCGGGGGGTAGGATGATCCCCAAAGTATTAAAGCCTTGTCGTGGCGACTCTGGAGGCAGGGAAGGAAAAATCCATATGCTGAGTGTCTGCATGGTGTTCCTAAGTACGAGATCTCATTAAAAATTTCACAACAGCTCCACGCTGTAATCCGTTTTACTGAAGAGAAGACCTAGTGTAAGGAACTTACTCAAAGCCTTGTTGCTGTATATTGCAGATGAAATGCACTGGTAGTGAAGCTTAGGGCGGACAGGCTTGGGTTTCCTCGTCTGTAGAATGGAGGTAACGTTGTCCATTTTAGAAGGTGGTTATGATTTAGCACAGACCTTGGTAATCACTCAGATGTTTGGTGTTTGAGGAAGAGGCCCCTTGTGATGTTTTGCTGGCATCTCTTATATGTGACCTGGGGTCCTCAGTTGGCATTCTTGGTTGGGTGCAGGTAAAGAGGTCAAGAAGATTCCTTTGGCAAGCTGTGAGCACCTGCCTTTGTGTGTGGGTGTGTGGTGGGGGTGAGGGGTGCTTGGCAGGGTTGCTGGCAGAAGAATGGAGAAAGGGGCCTGCTTTGAGCGGCCTGGGAGCTGCTTGGGGCTGGGCTGAGGGCAATCAATCAATCTCCTAGGCTATTCTGAGCCCTCTGCACCCTGGGGGCCCACCAGAGAGTCAGGCTTACTCCTTGCCCTCCAGCTTCCAGTGGGGCTGAGGAGACAAAATTAACAACACAACAGGAAACAATGTGTGACAGAATATAATTACATGCTAAATTGTTAGGTGCTTTTAAGGAGCTAGAACTCTGCCCTGGGAGTTGAGCTCTGCTGAAAAACTCCTTTGTGCCTAAATTCCAACAAGTGCTTATCCGGGAGTTTGGCCTGGAATCCCCTTAGGAGGTCTTGGCTCTGATGTCCTGCTGGAGTTTTCAGTACATTTCTGGCTGGGTGCTCTAGGAGCTCTTCCCCCAAGGGCTTGGGGTAGTCAGGGGAGGCTTCCTAGAGGAGGGGGCTGAGCTTGGGGTGAGTTGTTGAGAGAGTAGTGAGTACACAGGCCTGACTGGAGAGGAGGAGATCCCGTTCTCTGACCTTGGAGAAGTCCTTCCTTTCTATGCCTCAGCGATCTCATCCATGAAATGGTGATCCTGATCTTGCCTTGCTTGTTTCATAGGGCTGTTTTGAAAGCATAGTGGTAGAGGACCAGCTTTGGGCAAGTCACTTAACCCCTCTGAGTGCCTTTCCTCATCTGTAAAATAGGGGTAATAGTAACACCTCATAAGGTTGTGGTGAGGATTGAATGAGAGAGAATGCATGTAAGGTGCTTACTGTATAAGCTTAATAAATGTTCTTTGTACTGCAAATGTCCTGTACCTGTGTGTGTTGCGTGTGCCGTTGGACTGGACAAGTAAGGCAGCCCAGATCGCAGGCCCCCAGAGCCAGACACCATTTCTATCTCTGTCCTTCCCATTCTCGATCTCCCGCTTGCCACAGTGTCCCTAGCCCTTTTGGAGAGTGAGTCTCCTGGCCCCTGTGGGCCAGTACCCACTTGTAACAATGGCCGGATTTCCACTGCCTCCGGCCTTGGCTGTTTCCTGCTCTCTTCCAGAGTGTGAGAGGTTGAGGGAGGAGGGGGCCTCAACACCAAGGGGAACAGGAAGGTACCTGGAAATATTTGGGGCGTGGGACTTGTGGGACAGGACGCTTGGGGATCTGGGGTTCTGGCTGGGAGGCAGAATCTTTTATTCTTGAGGCGAGATTTAGGGGCCGTAGGGAAGTGGAACTTGTTGAGGGCTGAGGGGTTGGTGAGGATGCTGAGCTCCCAGTCTTCCTTTAGTTTTAGGGACTCCAGAGACCCAGCCCTAGTGCAGTCGTTGCCAGGGCAACTTCATTTTTCTTTTTTCTTTTTTTTTGAGCTTTGATATTGTTCCTAATCTCCCCCTGCCCTTCCTTGGTAGTGCCTCCCCCTCATCGGAACTAGGGGAGGAGGGGCCCTTTCTCTCTCTGAGGGCCCCATCTTTGTTCTAAGAGTCCCATCTTTTCACCAGGTTAAGCCCCACTCTCAGGGCCCCCAGGGGCCACCATGCCAGCTGGGGGCCGGGCCGGGAGCCTGAAGGACCCTGATGTGGCTGAGCTCTTCTTCAAAGATGACCCGGAAAAGCTCTTCTCTGACCTCCGGGAAATTGGCCATGGCAGCTTTGGAGCTGTGTACTTTGTGAGTTGAGGCTTGGGAGGGTGGGGCAGGGACTGTCTTCCCGCTGTGGACCTCCAAACAGCCCTGTACACTATTCCACCACACCAGGCTTTCCTGCCCTCTCCTGCTGGGCCAGCAAGTCTTCCTGCTACCCAGTGCTCACTGGGGGCCTTCACTACCTTCTGGTCTGGTCCTCTAGGCCCGGGATGTCCGGAATAGTGAGGTGGTGGCCATCAAGAAGATGTCCTACAGTGGGAAGCAGTCAAATGAGGTAGGTCAGGCTTGACAGACTGGTAGGAGGCAGGGGACCCCAGGCTCAAGATGCAGGCTAAGTAAGCCTCTCCTCCCCTGACCTTCTCAGAAATGGCAGGACATCATCAAGGAGGTGCGGTTCCTACAGAAGCTCCGGCATCCCAATACCATTCAGTACCGGGGCTGTTACCTGAGGGAGCACACGGCTTGGGTGAGCTGGCCCCCTGACTCTGCCCTGATCTTTGTACTCAGTACTCAGGCCCATCCTTATCCTGGTCTAGTCTCTTAAGTGGGCCCTGTTCAGGGTGTTGTTGGGCAGATCATGGGAAGGAGGAAATCTTTCCCAACCTCTGCAGTCCTCAGACAAACTCATAAGCAGCACTGTGTGTCCAGAGGGAGAGGCTGAAGAATGACATAGACTATTAGCAGTTGAAAGGGGGCACATGGGCTGGGAGAGCTGGAGATTGAACGATGGGATTCAGATGGAGATGGTAGTGATGTCTTGGGCTCTTTCTAAGGGAGGCCCTGACTCCAGGGACTTACCCCCACCCTCTCGTTTCTCCCAGTTGTCGTTTCTCCCTGTTATTACCCTGGGACCATTGCTTGAGTAGAGGCTAGGCAAGGAGGCCCTCTGTTTTGGATCTCTCTCCAAGGGAGATAGGCCAGGGGTGGCCAGATCTGCTGATCTCTGACCCTTGACCCTTCCATAGCTGGTGATGGAGTATTGCCTGGGCTCAGCTTCTGACCTTCTAGAAGGTAAGTGATTCTTTGGCCAACAAGTGGGAGAAGGGAGAAGAGCAGAGAAGCCGTAGGGGAAGGGTTAAGGGAAGATAGTTCCCGTCCCACCCTTGGGCTCCCTCAGTTTGATGTTTTTCCCTTACTCCCCAGTGCACAAGAAGCCCCTTCAGGAGGTGGAGATTGCAGCTGTGACCCACGGGGCCCTTCAGGGCCTGGCTTATCTGCACTCCCACAACATGATCCATAGGTACAAGCAGTACTGACAATGGCTGGGAGGGGGTGCTCTTTACACCGCTCCTCATTCTCCTGGGCTCCAGTCTTCTTGGAAACTTGGTGCAAAAGCCCCTGCCCAGCCTTTCTGAGATGCATGTCTTATCCTTGTGCTTTGCCTTTGGCAGGGATGTGAAGGCTGGAAACATCCTGCTGTCAGAGCCAGGCTTGGTGAAACTGGGGGACTTCGGCTCCGCATCCATCATGGCACCCGCCAACTCCTTCGTGGGCACCCCATACTGGTGAGTGGGAGTGGTGGTGAATGGAGAGAGCTCCCGGGATGTTGGGAGCAGGAGTTGGCAGGGTCTGGGCGGGTGATTAGCCTCTCTCTCCTGACCGTTCTCCCAGGATGGCTCCAGAAGTGATCCTGGCAATGGATGAGGGGCAGTATGATGGCAAGGTGGATGTCTGGTCCTTGGGCATAACCTGCATCGAGCTGGGTAAGGACATTCTCCTCTTGGCTCCTTATCCTCTTTTCTCTCCACTCCTTTCTCTTTTTCTTACTATCCCCACACCATCCCAT